ATACATGGCAGGATAGCTTTTCCATAATCTAGAAACTGGTGTGGTGCTGGAGTTCCCTTGTGTAATTTTTGTTATAGAAAGTACAGCAAAAAGTGAACACAACTAACTAGAGTTTTGTTTGTATTAACCATCATTTGGTATCAGCAACTGTAATGTTCACCTCAGAAGTCCTATCTCAACCGTTTTTCAACTGCTGTAAGTTCTGGCCGTCGAACTGAAGGCACTCATGACTGGAGCATGTCTGTCCATGTTTCATTCTTACCTGCTTCTACAAACACTCGTAAACACAACCCCTCAGGAGGAGAGCTGAAAACATTCAAGTCTGCAGCTGCAGTAGAGTTCAAATCTCTAGTAAGTTTACAAGCAAAGTGAAGAAAGGGACAGTATTCAACAATAATGCAATTCAAGTATTGCTTACTGGTACGTATTTGCAGACTATTTTCTTTTTTCTTTAGGAGTACAATAAAATATGCATCTAGGGCAATACATAAGGAAACCCTTATCGAAGTTACATTAATGCCCATGCCCAGTTTTGTCCTTATATTATGAACATGGTCTCAAGAGCTCAGTTTTATCAAGTTAGTACACTATACAAATATGTGATTTAGCTGAGCAGAGAGATATATGCTGTGAAGAGGTCTGCACAATCAGGTTTTCAACAGTTTAGCTGCTGTAGTTGACAGTTCACAATTGCAGCCATTCATTAGCGTTCCTGGAATACAGCCTGCACAGTTCAAGCTGGTCAGCTATCTCTGGAAAATGATCTATACTCTGCTCCTTTTCCAACATGCCTAGTAATATTTTGCCCCAAAAGTCTGCCAAACATGTAGGAGGTTTGAACAAGCTTTCTCAGTCACATTCTTTTAACAGAGGCAACATATTTCTTTTCCCCCAAGAGCCAAAATAAAGTTATTAAGCCAGCTGGAATATTATGCTTGTCAACTACAAATTTGTGTATACATGGGCATAAAGGTGAGTGGAGAAACTGACATACACTGATCCTGAAATCCTCTCAGGTACTCTGACTGCCCTTCATCCAAAATAATTAGTACTGCTGCTAAAGTCGAGCAAATGAAGAGTCAGGGGAATTTTGAGATCCAGTTCTACTTGTGTTTTTATAGTATTTGTCAGACTCTAAATTCAAAGTGGACTGCAATATTCACATCTGCCTCAATAAGAGTACTATTTCCTCCATCCTTGAATACTGTTGCAGTTTATTCTACTTGTAGCCACATTTAGAGAGGAAAAGAAAGTAAGACTATGTTAGGCTGTAGATCTTTCATAACTTCCACAGAATATATTTCTCTTAAAAAGAGCCTAGCAATTTAGACACATCAACTGAAAAAAACAGCCTTGCTTTTTAAAGGAAGGTTGTGACATGCCAAAGGCTTTTTTCTTTTTTTTTTTTTTTTTTTTTTTTTTTTTTTTTTTTTTTTATTCTTTTGGACCACCTACCCCCCCTCTCTTCCCCTCCAGATAAGATTTCTTGATTAATTGATTCCTCATTATTCATCAGATCAATGCAAGAAACCACAGTTTTGCCTAGACTACTGTAAAAGTATACTGGACTATCAGAACAGGAAATTAAAGGTTTTCAGGCAATGTCTTGCAAAAAAGTCAGTTCTACATCTATAGATACATAGTTGTATATTATCCATCTATATATCAGGCTATATAACCTTACACCTCCACCTCTAACTATCTTAGATGTAGTTTGATTTAAAACAGCAGACCATAAGACAGGAATAATACAAAGAACTTTTTGCAGAAAGATGGGAACTGACCAGCTTTTTACATCAGACCTCTCTGTCTCGTACTTACTGTATTTCTCACATTCTGTTTTCAAAGAATCCCCATCCTAAACTATTTTACCTTTAAAGGAGTTCCTCTTCATATTCAGAATGGTGAATGACTTACTAGATAAATCCAGGATACTTAGAGCTACACAGTATTCCTTGATGAATCACTGTTTTAGAAGATGACTATAAGAGAATGATCTACACAAGTTTCAAGTATGTACAAATATTTAAATATAATTGAAGGTGTCAGAAGAAATGTAGATACCTGCTGACACATTGACCCCCTGCTTCCTGGGTATGTTACACATTAATATTAAGATAAAAGAGAAAAACACTCTCCATAAATTTCTAGCTCTTATGATCACAAAGTAAACTCTCTAAACAAAACCAAGCATTAACTTCCTGAACCTGCAGGCAGCCTGAAACAGTGACTCATGTTGAAGGTGTCAGAAGAAATGTAGATACCTGCTGACACATTGACCCCCTGCTTCCTGGGTATGTTACACATTAATATTAAGATAAAAGAGAAAAACACTCTCCATAAATTTCTAGCTCTTATGATCACAAAGTAAACTCTCTAAACAAAACCAAGCATTAACTTCCTGAACCTGCAGGCAGCCTGAAACAGTGACTCATGATGTGTGAACTCCCTTTGCGCCCTATTAGTTTTATCAGAGTGTCAATCCTCAGCCTATTAATGACACTTGAAGGTCTTCATTGACTATTTCACCACTGATTTCAGTAGATAAAGCAGCTGGGCATAAGCCCATGGGAGTAGTGGCATAATTTAAATGGCTGAAAAGAGGGAAAAAAAGCAGAAGCAAGAAGAGAACAGCAGACAGGCAGGAGACAGTTTTATAATAAAGCCTTCTCAGTGAGTAAAGCAAATAAAAACAAAGTGGTAAAACAGCCTTAACAAGCTGCTAGGTTTTTATTTTCTCCTTTCTCAGTCTGAAACCAGTGGAAGTCAGGATACTGTTTGAGGGGAGCAAAGAATAAACTTAGATCTATTAGCTCTGTATCTCCTACTTTGTACGAAGTTTAGGCCTGTTTAAAGTAAGCTTTTCTTGCTTATCAGTATCACCACTAAAGAAAGCTATTCCAAGCCCGTAGAGACTCTCACATACCATATAGCTCCTTGCTCAGTGTACCACTTCAGCAAATGACAAGGTTTTATCACCCAGTGCAGAAACGGACAACTGAGAAGTATGCATTTCTTTTCAGATAACCACAAGTTAGTTTCTCTACTGAACGCCATAATGTGGCACGTAAAAAAGAGCGCTCTGCATTTAAGAGTCCATTCCTATTTCTTACTCGTAGTTCTCATCGCCAAGTTTCTGGAAAAGTTTCTTTAGAAACGAACAACATGTAAAGCAATGCTGCAAGGTGGCTCAAGTTCAAAGACGAAAGTATGGAAATAACTTTAAAAATCACTGTTCAGGGTAAGAGTAACAAAAACTGTCTCACTGGCATGCAACACAAAGTTAGCAGCCTACAGGTTTGAATAAGTAGGACAAGTTTCTCCCTATCGTTATATAAAGTGATTCATTTGTCACAGATAATCATGCCTGTTACTACGATTTATATAAATATTAAGTATTAGAAGCTATGCAAAACGAATGCAAAATACATTCCTTTCTTTCTGACTTCTTAATCATTTGAATGATTAAACACAAGACAAATAATCTTCTGATAATATACTGAGCTACGAAAAAAACCCTACCAGCTTGAAATCTAACCTTATTTGCACAAAGAGTTTGTCAGCTGGGTCAGCAATCCTCTTAAGGTAGGCACAACTGCTAGAAAATTTTAACTATTTAACTTTTTCTTTCAAGTCCTTTACCACTTTAATCAGAACTAGCACAACTCTCTACAACACGGCTTTTGCTTGCATAAAGGCTTTAGCAGAGTTACTATATCAAACGCAGCAGCAGCGTTAGCCAAAGCTCCAGTGAGCACAAGGCCTGCAATACTGCAGATTTAACTCTCTGAACACTGATTTGTCTTTGAGGCACCTTCTCCACCCACTACACCCTACCCCCACATACACAGCAGCTTTACTAAGAGGCGCCCTGAGCAACACTGACTGTGTTATCTTAAAGTCTGGTATTCTCCCAGGGTGAGAGGTGGCTTACAGGATAATTCAGCACATCAGACCTTCTCATAATGGTGTTACTCCTATTTTTGAAAATACAAATACATATAACCCACATGCACTTTATTCCTCCAAATTGCAGTAATCCCAACAGTACACGTTAACGACATTAATTCAGTGCTCAAACACTGCTTTCCCTGAAAGTCTTCTCTCAAAGAAGTCAATTAAGAACAGTTTTAGCCATCACGCTACCCTTCAGAGTAATTTGACAAGTCTATGGGCATAGAAGTCACATACATGCTTCCTCTCTCAGGTCCTCTGATGAGTCTGCTCATACTACACACCTTTGTTACAACTAGTAGTTCCAAATTACTTTCCTATAAAGAAAACTCATTGTAAGGTTGTACTTCCCACTGTGTCTACAACTTTGCTCAAGTAAGTGGCATCCTTTTTATTCAACGCAGAAGACCATTATCTGTAAAGCTTTCACTATGTTATGGCATACAAATTCATATCCCGATGCAAGTACTTTCCTTACTGATACTATAAAGCGCAAATTCAACAGCAGGATAGAAATCAAGAATCTGTGTTGTAAGCCCTTAAGTTTTCCAAGATACCTCACCTGACGGCCCTAAGAGAGCACTACACTTCTATTTTTAACAACACTGCAATATAGTGGTGTTGATAAACCTATTTTAACCTGGCTGTCATTCCAATGTTTTACGATGTGTTCAGGGGAAAGGAGAGAACAGACTTCCTCGCATACTGAGCAATTAGGTGCAGAAGGACAGTTTTCAGTATTTGATTCGGAAGAGGTCACATTATTTGTGCATTAACCAGCTTTCAGGCTACTGTCGGCCCTGTTTTGAGAGAAAAGTAATCACTTACAGCCTGAGAAGAATAAGTACAGTTCACTACTTGCCTAAACACTTCGCTATGTTTTGTATTCTTAAAAAAAAAAAAAAAAAAAGTAGCCCAGGTAAATTTCAGTATGACTTTCTGAAAATACGAACTTACAAAACCCACTTGCAATAACTTGAAAGTTGTTTGGGTTTTTTCTTCCCTTCAGAAAAGGTATTTTTATGGTGTTATAAAATAATTCATACCTGTCTTCATCACCATCAACAGGAATAGATATGCCAAACACAGAGCTGGCAAGACTGTTCATAGGAGTACTTGCAGGTAACTGAAGAGGATTTGCTAGAGTGTCTGGAATGGGAGGTTTCACAAGAGGTTTATTTTCAGCTATAAGAGAAAGTGGTGGCTGAGGTAGGGGTTCCGATTTTCTTCTAGTATCATCAATCTGGCCTACTAAGGATTGAGCTTGAGTCTGAAACTGTCCGAGGTTTGACTGTGGCAGATTTGCAGGTACATTAGGTGTGCCTTGCATTAACGAGTGTCCGACGTGTGGTGGCTGGACAACACCAGTACTTCTGCTGACAGAAGTGTGGCTAGTCAGCTGGGACTGGACCAGCGTAACAGGGACATTTGGCATAGTAACAGAAGTGGTGGTAGACACACTAGGCACACTTGTACCGGGCACAACTGCAGGCACGTTCTGAACTCCAGAGACCACAGCATGGGGAGCACCAGGCATTCCAGACACTTGACTGCTTCCACCCATTTGATGCTGAGTCACAGATTTCTGTTGCACAACCCCTGTATGTCCAATGCCTTGCTGCACCACACCTCCTGGTTGCGGAATTGCAGTCTGACTAGCTTGTGTCTGGCCACTCTGCATTAATCCTGATCCCTGTCCGACTGCTTCGCCAGGCTGTGCTGACACCCCCATCACTGGCGCTCCCACAGGTGAGGGACTTTGGCCGGTCACCTGCCCCACAGGAAGGCTGGAAGCCACAGTACTTGGAACAGAGCCTGTAGTAGCCTGTTGAATAGCTCCTTGAGACTGCATAATTGTCATGTGCTGCATGTATTCGGTCTGACCAGAAGGTTGCGTCGGCAGTAGATGCACTGGTGGAATCTGGGACTGCGAATAAGCAAATTGTTGAGGCTGAGTCACTGGTATGTTTGTCTGCTGCACCTGCTGCTGTGCCACAGGAATGCTCGGCTGCCCTATTGTCACATTTGGAGGTGCCATGCCTTTCCCGTTGGGTCCAGCCTGCGCAACACCCTGCGTATTTACCTGTGGCTGCGATTGCTGTGGCACCATCATCTGCTGATTTGCTACCGAAGCCCCAGAAAATATAGGCTGAGCAGTACTTTGAGGCATGGCCCCACCTATGGGTTGTTGCGGCTGCTGTTGTTGCCCAATGACAAAATTAGGTTGCTGTAGAGAGGACTGGTTCATTTTCTCTGTCTGGAGCAGCTGTGACACAGCAGTCAGAGAACTGTCAGCTATAGAATCAGGGCCATGGGCCGATGCTGGCACAGCCGAGACCACGACGGAACCTCCTGTGGCACCGAGGCCACTGTCCCTCTCTTGAGCAGCCTGCTCGAAGGTGCTGCTGTGCCGAATGCAATCTCCAGTCCTGCCCAGGACACCACCACCATCCGAGTCCCGGTCATAATATTCCATACACGTCCATCGTCCTCGCCTGTAGGGTTCCCCTGTACCGTGGTCCAGCTTGATCACCCTGAAGCGTGAGCTGCACACAGCAGCCACTGTCTGAGACATCATCCCAGGAGCAGCAGATGCAGAAGGCCCTGTGGAAGGCAAGGCGGTTTGAGCACTGCTGCCTCCTGCCCCAGCAGTGCCAGGGGCAGCAGCTGGCAGGGGCACAGCAGAGCTCTTGGGCACAGCCCCCCCATTGGGGGCCACAGCTGGCGGAGCCGCAGCCACCCCACCAGCAGCCACAGCCAGCTGCCCGTCCAGAAGGAGGTTGGGAGAAACGCTGCCAGGAGTTTCGGCCTCGCCCACGTTGTTGAGAGTCTCTTCAGAGGAGCTCCGCTCGCAGACATCCTCGGGGCCGTAGTCGGTAGCTCGGGAAACATCAAAGATTTCAGAAGACACATCCTCAGTGCGGGACTCATCCGGGTCGTCCAGACTCTCAGTGTCCTCAGTGATGCTGCTGGCCACCTGAGCCGTGGTCACGCTGGTGATTTGGAAGCAGCTCTTCTTCTTGGCCGGCATCTTGGACATATTTCCTCCGCGGGGAGGGGCTCC